AGCATGTCATTTGTCTCAAAGCATTTTCTTCCCTGTGCTAGTCTGTTAGAGCCAAATGGTCATCCTGTCGGTTTACTGCTCGTCTGAAACACAAGGACGCTGGAGCACAAGGCAAACTGGCCCAAGTCATGCAACTAATTTCGGAGAAAGGAAGGTAAACTGCCTGACCGGCCACCACAGGCTGGCTCTGCCAGCCCGCAAGGCGCATCCGAGAGCACAAGTGGACATGCGCTGGTTTACCGACTCCTGGAAGCCTGAAACCGGGCGTGACACTCAAAGGTGAGAAGGGCTGGCCTCAGGACCAAGGACAGGACGCTCTGTCCCAGGGAATTGGGAGGCCAACCTGAGACACTCAATCCCCTCCATCAAGTAACTGACTGAAGCTGAGATGTATTCAAGACACGTCTGCCCTCAGTGCCCGTGTCAGAGAGACACTGCCGGGCTCACTCAGACTCGCCTGGATCCAGTGTGCAGTGAGTAAGTCTCTTTTTCTTAAAGCAGTTTACAAGTGCTGGACTGCAAGAAGCTCACCCAAAGCTTACCACACTCCAACACGGGATTTTTCTCTTCCAATCTTGATCCACACAGATGCATGGTATTTATATAGCTCACATCACAGTTCATAGCCAAAGTTCTTTTCCAATTCTTTTGGGTAAGGTAACTCATGATTGACTTTGAGATTCTATATAATTATATTATCAATCCTAATAATGGCTACACAATATTGCACTATACTGACGTGTTAGATAGTGCTATTGCCCTATTTTTGGACATATGTTACTTTTAGTTTTTAGACAGCCAACATAATGTTTTGTACATATTGTTTTCTTGTATAGGAATTTAAAGTTTTTACTTCATTGCACTAAATATTCAGAAGTTGAATTACTACTCCAAGAGAATAATCCAGTTTTTATCTTTTTATTTTGAAATAATTTTAAACTTACAGAAGAGTTGCAAGAATAGTGCAAAGAACTCTCATACCACCAGGTGAATATTTCTCAACAAGAACAACCGTTTTTTTCCTTTTAGGTGAGGAAGATTGGCCCTGAGCTAACATCTGTTGCCAATCTTCCTGCTCCCCCCCCTCCCCCCACCAAGCCCCAGCACATAGTTATATCCTAGTTGTAAGTCGTTCTAGTGGGATGCTACCACAGCTCAGCTTCTGTAGGTCCTTACCCAGGATCCGAGCCCGCAAACTCGGGGCTGCCGAGGTGCAGAGCAGAACCTAACCGCTGCGCCACCAGCTGGCCGCAGAACCACTGCTTGCAAGGGCGCTTCCCCTGCAGTCGGCCTGTCTGACTGACGTTTCTGGCTGTTTGGGGCATTCGCGTCCCCGGTGCAGCTGCCCACCGTGAGAGTCTCCAGTGTGGAGGAAAGCCTCGACAGGGCACGCCACAATAAGACCCACTTCAAACCCGCTGTGGTATCTATCCACCCCCTGAAAAACCAGATGGCTACCAAAATTAAACGTTCTGAGACTGTGCACAAAATCTGTCTTCTGGTCCCAAACCATCTCGTCATAAGCCTCTGATCCATCTCTCTTTTCCTCAAGTTTCTACAGACGTTACATCATTTCTTACGCAGCCGATGGGGTCTCAGCGTGGTCCTCCTTCCGATGCCCCATCCCTGCGTCAACTCGGGCGATTAGGGCCCCGCTGGTGAGTCACGCGTCCTGCGGGGGAGGGGTCGCCCACAGAAACAGCGCCGGCTGGGAAAGCTCTCCCGCTACTTCCTTCCAGCCGCCCGCGCCCACTTTGCCTCCGTGTTATCTGCACCTGGGTTTATTTCTTTTCCTTGAAAGCAAAGGCCTTTGATACAGTTTTCCCAGAATGTGATTTCACCAAGATTTCTTTTTATCTTTTCTTCCCCCACAGCAATCCCTTGACTAAAATCAAGGCCCCCATTGTCACCGCACAGCCTCCCTGCACCCATCCCTCCTTCTCAGCTTCCGTGGAATTTGTGAAAGGGAGAACAATCTCAAATCAGTAGGAGCACAAAGGCCCCGTTCGTAGGACCGGCGTGTTCACTGGGCTGAGTCATCTGGGTGTATTTCAGCAACGCTCAGGGGCACCTGTGGGTCACCTGAACACCCTCTCCTCGCAGTGTCCTGGCTCGGTCCGCCCTCTCCCTCAAGATCCCCCGCAGGCCCCCCGGGGCCCAGCAGACAGCCTTGCCCCACAGGAGACTCCTTTGAAGGTTAACCGATCAAATTTGCATTTGAATTAGGGCTGAAAACCTATGGGAACTCGTTTCTAAAGATGCCGCTGCAGGCGTCCTGACGGGCGGGGGCAGGACTCTCCCTGCTCCCTCCTCCACCGCCCTGTACGCCCCTCCTGCCCTGTCTGTCTGCTCCCTGCTCAGGCTTCAGGACCCAGTACCCAGACTGCAGTCTCCCAGGGATCTAAGGGTTTAACGTGATCGTTCAGGAGCAAATTATCCTCCACAGGTCAAATCAAAGTCACACTACCATCCCGCCCCCAACCCCTGCGGAACCAAAATGCAAACAAAAGCGTCTGACCCTCCTTCTGGTTACACGTTCCAGGAGAGAGACCCCTCTCCGAGGGACAGGCCACCCTCTGCTGCAGCTTCTCTGGTGTCCTGTCTCCAGTGCTCTGTAGCTAACTCAGTCCTCCTGTCTCCGATCTGTAAGGGCCGTTGCCAGAGCTGTGGCCTGATAAAAATACTGAAAAACCATTTGATTTTGGCCACAACTGCCTTCTTTTCCAGCCTCAAAGTCAGCTCTCATCGCCTGACAAATATGAGCATATTTCGGATCCGAATATATGGAATTTGGCCTCTCCTAGAATAGCTGGTCATCCCACAATTCCCTCTGCCAACCTCCTGTTCCCTCTCCTGGCATCCTTTCTCTTACTTCTTTCTCACTTTCACATGCCGTGTCTCAGCTATACACTTTCCAGTAATAACACATGCTGCTTACTGAGAGCCCTGTGATGCACCAGGGACCTCTCTCCAGTCGCACGTAACCTGCAGATTCGAAAGCTCAGCATAATTGGAAAGCTGAGGTCACATCCCTCATTACTGGTACAGCCGACTCAAGCCCAGCCTTTCTCCTACACGCGCTGCTCTTCTTTATGAGTGATCTGCAAGGTGATCAAGTCAACAGGTCAAAACAGGTTATCCTTTTCCTGGAGCACTTACATTTAAGAGCACATGCCACGGCACTGAAAAGCTCCGGCCACTTAAGGGATGGATGGCTAGTGACGGAATTTCAGGCAAGGCTGTGCAGAACAGTTCAGCAGAGCACTGGCGCAGGGCCCCCCTGTTCCATGGTCCCACTCAAGAAGGCTGGAGCTGCAAAGACCTCAGCGACCACCCATTCCTGCCCTTCACTTTACAGAGAGGTGAAAACGATTCTCCCTGAGGTTATAGAGCTGGGGAGGGGACGGGCAGGGGCCTGAGGAAGCAGCTTCCAGGCAGGGCACTTTCCATGGCAGGTGAGCCTGGTTCACCGCCCCACCCTCCCCCCAACGCTCCAACCCCGGCATTTTCTCTGTCTGGAGGGCACTGGCCCACCTGTTCAGTCCTCCCAACCTCTGTGTCCAGAGGGGCAGAGTTACTGCTGGGGATCCCCGAAGGGCCCCTCGTCTCCTCAGGGCGCGTGTTTGTTTAGAATTGTAAACACTTCTTTTCACGCTAGGGGCTTAGAGCCAGCTCATCCCGAGGGTCCCCTTTAGGTCGTTGAGACTAGGATTCTAAAGGAAGATGATTCTTCAGGTCCCATCCAAATCCCGAATTCCTGTGATTTGATGACATCAGGACTGTGAATAATCAGACTGGCCTGAAGCCAGGATGGGCAGTGCTGTTTCCATCATGCACTTCCTCCCCCTCTTTATAAAAACAGGCCCGCCCCGGCTTGGCTCCTTCGTGGCCCTGTCCACTGGGCATCCTCCCGCTGCAGAGGAACCCGCCCACCCAGGGCCACCGACCCCACCCCCTGCCTTGAAATTTAAAGGAGGCCAGAGCTGTGCAGGGAGATTGGAGCTGAGGTCCTGCAAGAGCCCCGGGCTGCAGAGAAAGCCTCTCCGAAGGAAGGAAGGAAGGAAGGAAGGAGCGCGGTAGGTTGAATTCTGTACCTCTGTGTCCACACATCTCCTCTTCTCTCTCTTAAAAGTCTCCCCGGCAAACTGAGCCTGTAAAGAAATGCCTAAGTGAGGGACCGACTTTGTAATTCAGGCAAAAAGGGTAAACTGGAATCTGCGCCCAAAGGGAGATTTCTTCCTGAGTCTGCATTGAATGGGGAGAGGCTGAAGTGTTCTGGAGGGGTGGGGGTGGTGAGGGAGGAGAGAGACTAGGAGGCAGAAGAAATGTCTTGGAGAAGAAATCTCTCATGCAGAGTAAAGGGGAAAGTGAAAAGAATTATACAGAAATGCTCTCAATAGACAATGAAAGCATCTCGTGACTAACGGGCAAGAAATGAAAAAATCAGCTGCTTTCGGGACACACGGCTGTCAGGGCCGGAGAGCCCTTGGGGGTGTCTGGCTGCCTCTCTCCCCAAATGAGCCCCTTACGGGACTGAAGCTGGGGATGGGGCAGAGAGTGACTTACGTCCAGAGCATGATCCGCTGGGTTGGAAGTACTGGGAAAGAGAAGGAGGAGAATGCTGTAGAAAGGTCTTGGACCTCCCCCCATGCCCGGCATCTCCACTGGTCAGTTTTGTCCTCTGGCTTCTTGCCCAGCGTGAGGTCCTCTTTAAGGACTTTTCAATTACAGGGGAAACTGACATCAGTGTCTTTTATTCCTAAAGCTCTCTGCAGGAGGCATAGCGGGGCTCTCTAGATTTTCACTGTTATTATCTTTGTTTTCTTATCCTCACAGTGAGGGAGGGAGGCAGGAAGGGAAGGAGGAAAACATGCTGAGCTCCCAGGTAACTAATGACAAACTCAAGTGCAAAGACGCTTATTTGGTGGCCAAGTTGGAATAATAATGGTGGTCTCCTGCAGCTGATTGATGAGAGAAAAAATTATATGTGTGTGTGGGTAGATTTGCAATCCCATGAAGAAATTCTGCAAATCCAACTGTTAAGCTGAGTTCCCTCAAAGGGACTTTCTTGCAATTCTTGCCTGTGGGCAGGAAGACTCCTCCTGCAATCTAGACACTGACTTGTCCAGAATCAATATATGATGGTCAGCATGAGCTGCCAGGTGAGTGCTTCCTGTGAGAGCAGAGCCAGACGCTGGGCACCAGCAAGGGCGCCGTGAATATTGAAATAGAAATAGTCCCATCCCACTCATCAATTTATTCAACCTAAAATGTTCTCAGAGATGCCAGCCTCGAATCTCTGGATCTTGTCAAGAGCCAATAATAGCTACCCTCTGCCCAAATGGCTCAGTCTCTGTCCAGACTCCCCCAGATCATCAGTTTACTTTGTGAGACCTCGTATCAGTCTCACAGTGTCTGTGCTGCATCGCAGGCCTGGGACGGTTCATGCCACCAGGGCGTAGCTGAGAAGAGCAGTGAGACTGTTAGTGTGTGCTCATTGAGGCAAGATTCCCAGACTGGACTCGCCTTTTATTTCCCCAGGGCCTAAGAGTCGATGATCAGTGCATTTCAAACTATTGTAACAAGCAGCCCAGCCACGTCTAGTGACCATAACCTTGCAAGGCTTTCGGAAATGAGTGGCCAGGCCCACAGAGCATTGGGGGAAACTTACTGTGCAGGTGAGGCCTGTTACTTTTCCGCCAACAGGAGTTCTTCTGGTCACAGGGTTTTATAGCAGCTTAAGGGGCCCTTTGGCTAGGATCATCATTTGGAAGGTGAAGTGCTGGCTTCAGGACTTCCAAAGCTTCCAGAGTGAACGCAGGTTATTTTGATCAGACAGCTGAAGTGGCAACATCGTTCATAGCAATGGATTGGACTTGGCTCCAGTCAAAATTCAAAATCCATGTGCTTATCTGAGACACTTAAGTGTCTGCTGGTAAGGAAAATTTTGAGTTTTTAGTTGAAATGTTCACTTTCACCTGGTTATTTGGCATGGCAGTCTCAGAATAAAATTTCTATTTTCTGTGAGTGATTTTCATCTGTTCTGATAAGATGGCTAGGTTGAACAAGTGACCAGAATATTCTGTTCATCCCTTCTTTGGGTCATTTGCTTCGCATGGAGAAAAATTCTGTCCATAGTTTTCAGGCTCTACACCTCATCCTACTTAACCAGCTTATATAACCATGCGTTGGGTCTCAAATCAAACCGGATAGAAAAGTGAGGATGAGTTAGCCTCACAGAAAGGTAGAGCGAGAGAATCTTAGAGATCATCCTCCCTGGTCCAACCCCAAGTCCAGCCACGTGGTCTTCTGATACTGGCTTAGTTGTCTACTTACATATAAGGACAGCACATTTTCTTCGTGATGTTTTGTACATCTTATATTCCACTATCCTGCCTGGGAAATAGACTTCCGTAGAAAGGGACAGAGGGACGGATAAACCTCGTGATCACCTGGAAAATAAGACCTATCACAGAAGGGAAAATGAACCAGGCACACACAGGCATTTCATAAATGGTTTTTGAAGGGATGACTCAGGCAAGTCCTGATGCTGATGATGATTACCTGGGAAATGCTAACCAGTCGTTCCTCCTATAGAACTAATACAACTGAGGGTCCTTAGCGGCTGCCCAGCACCATCTGTGCCAATGGCCATGAACCAGAGGTGACTCTTGGCCAATAGGCCCAGCCGAGGTGCCCAGGATGGCTATGTGATGCTCTTGACACATAGCACCAGTGGCTTGAAGAGCTTTGTTTGGGAATTGACCTGCAAGACCTGCTTCTACCTGGAGCCTCTGAAGTGACCACTTCAAGGTCAGGCTGAACCCAGGCACTGGGAAACTTTTGTATTACGAGCCTTTTCTGTTTATTATATAGTCACAAATATCCCATTAACTTACAACTAGGCATTAGGGAATTCACACTGAACTTCTCCCCAAAGGCCCCTACATCTTTAGAACTCTTGGGCTTTCCAAGCCACACTTCCTCCTGGGAATACCCTTGAAGAAGAAGCCTGCGCTCTGTGAATCATACTCCTTTGCCTGAAGAAAGTGTTTTTGCCCAAGAGTAAGCTGCTTGCTGCTGTTACCCTGGGCCCCAAATGGTGGGTCCATCTTGGGGATATGCTCTGTCAGGAACACCCCTTCATTGCCTGGCTAACTCCCACTTTTGTTTAATAAACAGCTTATATAGTATCCATTCCAGAAAGCCAAGCTTGACTGCCCCCCACCTCAACAAGAGGGAGAGAGATCCCCTTCCCCCACCTTCTGGCAGGACCGGTTCTTCCTCTGCACGCCCCCCTTCCGTCCCCAGTGCTGCTCACACTGTGCTGTCATTGTCTAGTTTCTTGTCTGTCCTCTTCCCAAACTATGAGGTTTTGAAGATAGAACATATGTCTCTTTATACAACGGAACCTGTCCCTGGTGCACGGTTGGTGCTCAATAAATGTCTGATGTTGTGAATACATAGAGTGAGTGAATCATCACCTGGGAATCCAGGAAGGGAGGACATTGGACTGAGCAGGGGCTGAGGGTGGAGGTGGATGGGAGGGGATCTGACAGGCCTGGGAGGATTGCCCCCAGGGAGGTTCCCAAGCCCCTTGGTTAGAGATCTTTGCAGGAGCAGTTTGATGTCAGCTGAGTTTCTTGAAGGTAGGCGACAGGGGTCTCCACGGAGAAGCTGAACCCAGTAACCTATTACGAATAACCTAAAAAAGAGACTACCAGTCGCCTTGATCTCTGCCAGCTATTGACATTTTGGCATGTTCACAGAAAAGAGAAACTTGCTTTATTTTGCCTCATTGTAGCAAGAGGCGGTGTCTGCCCCCGCCCCCCCCCCCCCCCCCCCCCCCCCCCCCCCCCGGGCTGCAGAGAGAGAGGGAAGGTGGGTTTGTTTTTCTGGGAAGCTCCTGTTTCCTCATTTCTCCTGTGAAAGGTCTCTGGTTTTCAAACATCCTGTGGTCTGCATCAGATGGGCCTTATCAGTCATGAGGGCCTATCTTCCAGTTGGTCCCGGCAGCTAATTCCAACTTCCTTGGAGAGTCCAGAATAGCCCTGGCTTGTGTGGTGTAAATAGGCCTGGGAAAGGCAAATAAAAAAACAGATTAAAAGTAGGATGAAAGACACCACCTCATATTCAGGAAATAATGGCTCCTGTTAATACTGATCTGTGCACATAGATGAAGGGCATGAACTTGTACGTCAGTTGTAAAGGCCTGGGTTATAGGTTACCATGAGATGTCCAGGTGATCTGGGAACTGTATGGTAATAACACTTGAACATGATGAGGACCCCATAGAGCTTGGCATCCCTTCTGCTGTGGAAACTTCTAGTTATTGTTCCAGGGAGAAGCTGCAAACTTTTGTGCTCCCATTTCTGAAGGACGCGCATGACTGTGAGTACGGTTAACCCTACTGTGCACCAGCCATGGCATAGGGCCTTTACCTGCCTGTTTCTTCTCCATTTGCCGTAACGACTCAGCAAGGCGGAAATGATTAGCCAAGAGAAAAACCAGGAAACCACGCAGCCTGTAAGTGGGAGTGGGAGTTTGAAGCTGAGGCTCCACAGGCCATGCTCCTTGCATTGCAACATGCTGCTCCTCTCAAGTAGCAGCTCTGAGCACATTGAAAACCTCATAATCCAGCATCAGGACACCGTAAGGAAGAGTGGAAAGAATGTTGGGTTTTCAGTAGAAGAACTGGGGATCTGGGGTTTGAATCCTGACACCACCTTAGAAGGTGTGTCACCTTAGGGCCAAAGGCCCTTAGACTTCTATGAAGTTCAATTCTCTCATCTGTAAAAACAAGATAGTAATATCGCCTTAAATGATTCTGTGCATTCCTGGTAAGCAGTAAGTACTCAAATACCTGTTGAGTAAGTGGCATTAATCCACACACATTTCTCAGAAATATGCTATCATGTCTCTTCCACGTGAGCCCAGTAAAATGTGGACAAATTCATGTAATAATACAATGAAAGCTTCCGACCATTTTTTCCTGATTCAAGTGTGTTGAGATCTCCAGGTAGACTGAAGAATTATCGCGTATTGAATTACCTCATAGTGATGTTTACTCCAGGGAGTGGAAGGAACGAGAGGAACTAGCCTCATTCTTAACAAGACGCTTGTAGATTAACATTAGATTACAGGGTTTTGGGATTCAGACTTGGGGCTTAACATTTTGTTGTACTGACTAAAGGGCTTAGCTTTTGCCAGCTGAAGCTTGTTTTTTCTTCACAAGGATGTAAGTTTATTAGGAAAGAATTTCATTTGTTTTTATCGCAGGAGGAGGCAGGATGATGATAGGATGCAGGATGGACTTCTGTTTTCCTAGACCCATAACCCACACTGCCTTAGTTCCTCCGAATAACCAGGATTACCTGGCAGAGGGTGGAGAGTTGAGGAGATGACACTGCTCAGTGTAGATCTTCCTGAGTAGCCAGGTTCATGTCATATAACTTAGGTGCAGCTCAGATGCCTCTATTTTGCAGGTGCTTTGGGGAGCATTCTGCCCTGAGTAATTGAGTGGAGTTGGGGCTGGGGGGTGGGGGGAGTGGGAGGTGCGTTGCCAGGAGAGGATTCTATTCACTTAATTGGAATTGATCAAATTAGATAAGAAACAGACTCTTCCTCTCCTGTCCCTTCGTTATAAAGAGATCTGTTCAAGAAGAGAGAAAATGAGGTTTGGCATATAGAAAATCACCTTTTTGAGAAGTTAAAAATTGCTTATATGATGGCAGGTTTTTTTTTTTTAAAGATTGGCACCTGAGCTAACAACTGTTGCCAATCTTCTTTTTTTTCTTTCTGCTTTATTTCCCCAAATCCCCCCCCCACCCTGCCCCACCCCCGTAATTGCATATCTTAGCTGCAGGTTCTTCTGGTTGTGTATGGCAGTTTTTGAAAATGGTTTTTATTCTGAGAGCAGGGCCTCTATAAAAAGCAGGACCTGCCTAAATGGGGCCAGAGCTGCCAGGCTAACGGCTCCTGTCCTGAGCTCTGCCTCTGGCCCATGAAAAGGGGAGCTTTTCTGGGAGCTCATCACCCTTTCCAAGGCATGGTTCTTCCTCCCATCTCACCTCATCTCTTGTCCTGACCCTAGTGACATGCCTTTGCCATTCCAATGAGTTCTGACCGTTTCTTTTCTAATTTGTTGGTATCCATTCTGGGCCATGGTGGTTGGGGGTAGAGGGAGGGTGGTTGTTTTAAAGCCATGAGTCATTTTAGGGTATTTGTATTCCTGGAGCCTGACTCTCACTTACTCAGATTTCCAAAGCAGCTTTGCAAAGCAAGAGTAACCCAAGAATCTCCTTTACCAAAGACTCAGGTAGCAGACCTTGCACACTGTGTAAAAGTTGATAATAGTATCAATTTACTTTTGTTTTTCCCTTGAATTTCCATCCTCCTCCAGCTTGCTCATGTTTCTGACATTTTTTGCTGGCAAGAGTGGAAACTACAAGTGCTTGAGTTCTGTAGCGTCTGGGGCGATTGCACTGTATGTAGCTAGACTCAGAGAACTTGATTGATTGATTGATTGACTGCATTTGTACAGTTTCGTTATTGCAAATCACTTTACAGCACGTGGGGGAGTATTTACATAAAAGTGCCTCTACCCGCTCACTAGGGTTTCACAGTTTACACAGCACGTGCGCATTCACTGTGTATCATTTGTTCTCACAACAATGAAAATCACAGAATGGTACCCTGGAGGAAAGCTTGAGAGTCCAGCCTGCTTGATTTTGCATCCCTGGGAGCAGATTTTACATCTCAAAATATGGAAGGGCTGCGCGTTAATTGTTGTGCAGCCATTTTAATCTGTGAGCGAGTGTGTCAGTCCCTTTCCTGAAAGCAGGTTTTTCTGGGGAAGATGGAGAGGGCAGGAAAGTGGAGGGAAAGGTCATGCAAAGGGAAGTGGAAAGACACTGAGGACAACACTTCACCTCCTGTCCCAGGTCTGTCCTTGAGCTGTCCTGCTGCCATTCCAACAGCTTCACCCAGTCTGCACGCAAACAACTGTTAACTGGTGCCCATCAGTCAGCATCCCCCGTGTTACCACTGCAGAAATGAACGCTGAGTTTCTGGCTGGCGTGATCATTGATTTCTTGGCCACAATGGCACGCATCCTTGGCTCTAGAGTAATCCCCTCCCTGGTTACCAGACTATTGTTCCATTTTTTTCCCTAGAGCAGACATCATCCACGGTTGTTCAGAGGGCCAGTGAACTGAGCCACTCTGTTGCTGCAGCCAGCAGGACCCAACACGGTTTCCAGGCAGCAAGGTCAGAGATGCTCTGGAAGCCCAGGAGGCTGCCGAATGCAGACCTGCAGGCTGGGTCCCACACAAGGATGCCTGATGTCCTTGAAATCCAGGCCACGCTTTATTTGCCAAGCCATGTGTGCTATTTTTTCTAATTTGCACCGATTCTTTGTCAACTTGCTAGACTTTGTGTCTGTTGAACTCCACCCACCAGAGAGGGTGCCTTTTGCAAATCTGCAAAAATCAACTTTGTGTGCTAGGGTTGGCCTGCCAGGGCTGGAGCCTTGAGACCTTGGGGACCTCAGGCCTCTTGGCCATTCCACTGCTGCTCTCACACACTGATGCTCTCAGGGATTCAGGGACTCCAGTTTAACTAAAGTGAGACAGCCTCATGGATTTCTTTTTCCTTCCCTCTTTTCCTTCCTTGCTCCCTTTCTTCCTTGCTCCCTTTCTTCGTTCCTTCTTTCCTTCCTTCCTCTTGCTTCCTTGTTTTTTTAGTTCTTTGATTCTGGGAAACCATTAAACACAGCAAAAGGAAGAGAACATAGAAAAAAAATTACAAGTCTCTGTATTTATAAAATGAGCGTCCAAAGGATTTCTTACACTTATTCTTCAAATCTCACATCCCACCCTGGCCCCATTATGAGCACCTGGTGCTTCTCCCTTGGGTGGGAGCCTGTGGTCCACGAGGTGGAAGTCTGTTCGGCCTGGCCCCCCGGATTCCTGGCATTCACTCTGCTCTTTGTCCAGGGGCTGCCCCCAGCCCTCCACACCCACCTCTCTAACAAAGGCAAAACAAGGACACATTTTCCCTCCCTCTCCTTTCTCCCTTGTCTTCACTCTGCTGGCGGTGACTCATTTCTTTGTCATCCTCTCACCCGTTGGGCCTGTCCGGCTGCTCTCATTGCCTCTGTGCAGCGGGGAGGGAGCCGGCGCCTTGTGTGAGAGACTCTCCGGCAGTGGCTCAGCTCAAGCCCCAGGAGGGCCAGCAGAGGTGGAGGAGGACAAGGACTGATAGAGGCGAGACCGTCTCACTGTCCCGGGAGGAGACAAAGCCATGCCCCTTTCCCCCAGTGCTGATTCCCTAGTGGCAAAGGGTTTAACACGATGCAGCTGCTGGAGACTTTACACGCGTCCCCAAGGCTCACTCCTCCCCAGCTGTCCAGGGAATGCAAATGTGTTAATACTTCACTTCTCACTTTGCAATTTTCCACTATCTAGAATTGTGTTCCATTTAGGCGGACCTGGAGTTCTTGATATAAAACAGCACCTTGGCGGGCATCCAGAGAAAAGCCAAAAGCATCCCCTGGGCCTGGGGGAGCGAGTGTGTGGAAAGGGCCGGCCGCTTACTTCCTCGCCTGGCTGCTGCTTCATTCACTCACTCCTTCATTGTCTTATGCAGAATTTCTTCATAAAGTCCTCAGAGTTTAGAGCTCCCCCCAGCCTCAAGGCCTGAGATAACAAAGGGTGGGACAATCTATAAATACAGGAAAAAGGATTAACGTCAGAAAGAAAGCGGAGAACACATTTAAGAAGATCTATTTTCAAAGGTTATAAGTAATGGGATAAAATTAAGAAGGAACATTTGAGAGGGATTTTGGGAAATTTTGAGAAAGGGGAAATTTGAGGAAAGCTTAGAAAGAAAATCTGGAACAATTCCCTGTGATAGGAAGATTCCAGGCTGTGCTCCTATGTTGGATGGCCTCAACTTGCTACTTCTTTCTTCTGGAAGTGGTCAGGAGTGACAAGCTTCCCCCTAGGAGTGAGGAAGGGCCCCCACCCTGCCCAGGAAGGGGCCTTGGGCACACCAAATTAGAACAAAGGGCCAGATCCTGCGCTTCTTTCTCACGATGGGCCGGGCAGGCAGGGGAGGCTCCCTCACCCCGGCTCCCTTTCCCTCCCGTCACCAGCAGCCCCAGCAGAATCTGTGCAGCGTACAGTTTCCCACCCCCACCCCCTATATTTTTATCCTTGCTCTGAAGGGAGCTCGGGGCCGTGGGAGGGGAAGGGCACTTCAGCAGGGGAGTTGTTTGTGAAGAAACAAAGAAGGAGCCAGAGCCGCAGCCAGGCCAGGATGGAAGTTCTGGAAGCCTCTGAACCAGCAGGGCCCTTCAGATCCTTGGGAAGAGGGGGAGGGGTGGGACCTGAAGTTGTTGTGACTGAAGGGAAATGAGTCAAGGGAAGAAATGCCCAGATTTAATTCTCGTGAACGCAGGAGTGAGTGGGCCTGCCAGACCACAAAATAACACCCTGACCAACCAACCTACTTTGGGCTGCTGAGGGCAAGACCGCTGGGAAAAGGCACATGGAAACCAGGAATTCTGGGTCCAGGAAGATCTGAGTCTAATGGCCCAAGACCAGATGCCTCCACTCCTCGCTGCGAATCTGCACCAAGCAGGGCCTGTCTATAAAAAGGAGGCAGCCGGTCCGAGGGGGAGGGGGCAGCAGGCGCGCTGGAGTCTTTCCTTTGTTGGACGAGGTGGCCTGGAAGTTGTCAGTGGAAGAGCTGGGGCAATCTGAGGTCGGCTGGCTCTGTGATGTGCCGGCAATAAGATCCCTACGGTGTCCTCAGAAAAAGTTAGACAGGGGACATTGCTGTGGCTCCATCTAGCCAACCCCAGGACAGGAATTTACTTCCAGAGAAACCAAGCCAACTCACTGTGGTCCCCGGCTGCAGCGAAGGCCAGAGATGGGCTCACCCCTCAGCCCATAGATGTCTCTGGGCAAAACCATCTTCCAGCAACCTGTGTCCGTCAGTGGATGAACGGGTCAACAAAATGTGGTCTATACAGACAGTGGAATATTATTCAGCCTTAAAAAAGAAGGAAATTCTGACACACGCTACAACATGGATAAACTTTGAGGGGATTATGCTCAGTGAAATAAGCCAGTCACAAAAGGACAAATGCTGTGTGACTCCACTTCTAGGAGGTAGCTCGAGTCGTCAAACTCACAGAGACAGAAAGTAGAAGGGCGGGTGCCAGGGCTGGGGAGCTGTGGTTTGATGGGCGTGTAGTCAAAGTTTGGGAGGACGAAAGTTTGGAGATGGAGGGCAGTGATGGCTGCAGAACCGTGTGAATGTTCTTAATGCCACTGAGCTGTACACTGAAAAATGGTTAAGATGGTAAATTTTATGCTATGTGTATTTTACCATAATAAAATATACATACAGGTGCCGGCCCAGTGGCGCAGCGGTTAAGTTCGCATGTTCAGCTTCGGAGGCCCAGGGTTCGCTGGTTTGGATCCTGGGTGCGGACATGGCACTACTTGGCAAGCCATGCTGTGGTAGGCGTCCCACATATAAAGTAGAGGAAGATGGGCACGGATGTTAGCTCAGGGCCAGTCTTCCTTAGCAAAAAGAGGAGGATTTAATCCTAAAAAAAAAAAAAGGAAGATTGGCAACAGTTGTTAGCCCAGGTGCCAATCTTTAAAAAAAAAAAAAAAGAGGAGGATTGACCACAGATATTAGCTCAAGGCTAATCTTCCTCAAAAAAAAAAAAATACATTCGATAAAAAACAAATGTCTTCTAGGTCCTTGTCGTGGCATTTCCTGCTGTGGGAGCTGATGCTGGAGGCCCCACCGTGATAAAGTTGCAGGTTCTTCAACTTTCTCGTACTCTTTAATCTCTCAGGTCACACAACTAAGATTTTTCCTCTCTTCTCTAGAATTTAAGGGACGCTCTGAAGAAATGAAGAACAAAATGAAGAGGGAGCTGCTGTGTGTGCTGCTGCTTTGTGGAGCACTCTTCATTTTGCCCAGCCAGGTAGGCGTGCAGTCCCCCTGTGTGTGCCCTGCCCCTCAAGGCTGTGCCACTTCTAGATGCTCCTCAGTGTAACCAGGCCCCAAGGGGGGGATGGTGTCGAGTGGAGGGGCAAAGGGACAGAGGGCCAGAGCCACCAAACACACGTATCAACCCTTTTTTTTTTGAGTAAGATTAGCCCTAAGCTAACGTTTGCCACCAATCTTCCTCCTTTTGTGCTGAGGAAGACTGGCCCTGAGCTAGCATCCATGCCCATCTTCCTGTACTTTATATCTGGCATGCCTGCCACAGCATGGCTTGCCAAGTGGTGCATACGTCCACACCTGGGATCCAAACCGGCGAACCCCGGGCCACCAAAGTGGAACATGCGAACTTAACTGCTGTGCCACCGGGCCAGCCCCTCTGGGGTATTTTTAAAGAATGTGTTTGAATTAACCCATAAAGTATTTATAAAAGACAAGGCAAGTGCTGTGAGCCGTCAATGCAGGCAAGCTGCCCTCATGCTGCTTACTGTCTAGTTGGGACGGAAGCCACACAATACACGTGGTCTCTGAAAATGCCCTGCAACAAAGGGAAGAAATGGACATTCTGCCGAGGGCCAGTTACTGGAGAGGGACTCTCTGGAGAGGTGGCATTTGATCGGCGGGTTGATGGATAGTCTTCTGCTTTGGCCACCTTTATTCTTTTTTTTTTTCAAAAGATTTTATTTTTCCTTTTTCTCCCCAAGTTCCCCCGGCACATAGTTGCCTATTTTAGTCGTGAGTCCTTCTAGTTGTGGCATGTGGGATGCTGCCTCAGCATGGCCCAATGAGCGGTGCCATGTCCGTGCCCAGGATCCGAACCAGGGAAACCCTGGGCTGCTGAAGCAGAGCGCGCGAACTTAACCACTCGGCCACGGGGCTGGCCCCTGGCCACCTTTCTTCTTAAGACACCCAGCATGCGCTGATCCTTCCTCCATCCCTGGTTTCTTTGCAGGAAACGCACACACACACGCTATTCAGAAGAGGAGCCAGATCTTACAGAGGTAAGATGAAATGGATGGCCGGAGGCTGGAGGCAGGCTCAGGGCATGGGGGCTCAGGGTGCCTCAGGCTGTCGGGGGATTTATCTTCTCCCCACGACCTGCAAACTTAAGCTGGATGAGGGTGAAATTTGCAGGGTGATTCTGTAAAGATGCCTGAGTCGCCCTTCCATCACTCACTCACCATTGCCCCAGGTAGCTGAAGCCAGCGAGCTGGGTTCTGAGGACAGGAACGGAGTCGGGCTGTCAGGGAGACCACAAGCTCAGTGGCCCAAAGTCCTGTTACAGGGATGAGAAACAGAGCCTGGGGAGATGCTGTGACTCGCCCGAGGCCGCAGTGCTGCCAGCCACAGCTGTCCTGCTCCTCTGGGGTCTTTCCCTGGGCAGTGATTCCATCCCTCTGGAGTCCGCTCGGCATCTTTGCTAACTAACATCTCTGCACCTCTGTCTCTTTTGGTTGGTAGAGTGGGGATAACGGGCACCTCCCATAAGTGGTGTGAGAAGACGCTCTGTATAAGACTGTCCAGAGCGACTCTAGAAATCTGAGGAACACGCCTGCTAGGATTCCAAGAGTAAAAATTCTAACAGCTGGATTGTCTTGACTCTGATTTCAAGAAGTCCAGGCCCAGCCACAGGTCCAAAACTACCACCTAGGGCCTCATCTCCTTCGTGACCCAGTGCCTTTGGGTCTGGGAGTCTTTGCAACTCCCTTTGAAACTGGAAGCTTCCCCAGCAAGTCACACCTTAACTCTGAGTGCCCTCGCTGTGGGACAGCACAGCGTTTCCTACGGGGTCTCCTGGCTCCAACAGACCCTCAAAAGAAACAACAGCGTTATCTACAATGAGCACAGGTTGCTTCTTTAAATAATTAAAAGTTAAAGAGTTTTTAAGGTGGCATTCTGGTTTGCAGAGAGAGAAAGGGAAAGAATGTTAATGGAAGTACTTCCACTATTTTCATTACACCACAAGCACTAAGGGAAGCGGCACATTTTCTGCATGGACTAAAATGTCAGTTTTCTTTGTTTGGGGCCAGAAATGCATTATTTCAGTGTGGTGATACTCACGTGGATCAAAAACTCTGGTAGGCAGTTATATACATGTGTATATTTTTGATGAATCAAAATGAAAAATTAGAGTATTACTCAATAAATGTATTTTGATAGATAAATTATTTCAAAACAAAGACCCATCAGAGGACAAACAATAACAAGGATCTTTGGTGACAAAGTATTAGGCATTTGTTGTCTTCCAGCTGAGAGCAAGAAAGGACTAAAGGCTGGGTTACACCGAGAGGGAGGGAGGGCTTGTCTGAGAAGGACGGTGGGGTGGCTGGGGGGTCAGTTTCGGTGAGATGCGCCCTAAAGAGGGCAGCCTGTCTTTTGTTACAGTGACCTGCAGGGATGAAAAAACACAGATGACCTACCGGCAACACGAGTCGTGGCTGCGCCCCATGCTCAGGGGCAACCGGGTTGAATACTGCTGGTGCGACAGTGGCCGGCCGCAGTGCCACTCGGTGCCCGTCAAAGGTACGCACGACTCCAGCCCAGGCTTTGGGCTTCACCACAGTCCCATGGGCCATACCCTGTCACTCACGGTCCCCCACTGTTCAAATCTTCACATGCAGATTCCCTCCCTTCTGCCTGAGGTGGGGGGGGGGGGGGAGGTACCAGCAAAAAAGGAGCGAGGCTGTGTGACCTCAGGCAGACACCTTCAGCTGCCGAGCCTCAGTTTCCTCCTGTGAAATGAGGATAATCATAGTGCAGATTTCATGGTTTGCTGGGAGGATTTGATGAGTTAATTTTCGGAAACTGCTTAGAATAGCGCCCGACGTGTGGAGAGCGCTCTTAAAACTTTATCTCCTGTTATTCTTGGAGCTACTTGGAAAGTAATTAGCGGTTTCCTTGTTTACACTGGACAGGTTGCAGCGAACCACGGTGCTTCAATGGGGGGACGTGTTGGCAGGCTCTGTATTTCTCAGATTTTGTCTGCCAGTGCCCTGAAGGATTTGTTGGGAAACGCTGTGAAATAGGTGAGTGGTGAGGGGTGGTGTGAGAGGAACTGAAACCCCAATTATCAAATCCACCCAGAAAGGAAAGGAAGTGTATGGTGACAGGGGCACGTGTCGGGTGGACACAGGGAAGGGTCATCCAGGGGTTGGTTAGGAACCAAAGTGCCTGGCCCAGTGGGCAGAGCCTTGGGGGTGACTCTGGAGTCTGGCTCTGCCACCAGTCTGCTGGGTGACCCCAGCCCCCGCACTGACCTCTGGCGCTCCAGTCGTTTCAGCAGCCAGCTGCTCATTGGTTTGGGGTGATGACAGAGTGGATGGGAAACCCCTTTGAAAAACTAAATGAAAGGGGGATTCATATGTGAGGTGTCATGTGTCTTGCTTTCAATCAGATGCCAGTGCCACATGCTACGAGGACCAGGGTGTCACCTATAGGGGCACGTGGAGCACAGCAGAGAGTGGGTCCGAGTGTGTCAACTGGAACAGCAGTGTACTGGCCCTGAAGCCCTACAATGGGTGGAGGCCAGATGCCATCAGGCTGGGCCTTGGGAACCACAATTACTGCAGGTGAGAGGGCCTTCTCCTGACTGCTGAGGTTTTTCTCATGAGAAGCTGTTACAGTGGAGAAAAGACCTGTATCAGATCTGTCAGGGATCTCCAGAGAAAGAGAAACAAGAGGATATATGTACACACATAGCGGTTTATTTTAGGAATTAGCTCATATGATTGTGGGGGCTACAGGGAGCCCAGCAAGCTGGAAACTCAGACAAGAGTTGATGTTGCAGTCTCAAGGCAGAACATCTTCTCAGCTTCTGCTCTGAAGGCCATTTACTGATTGCACGAGGCCCACCCACGTTATCAAGGACAGTCTCCTTTACTAACGTGGACTAATTGTAGACGTTAGCTACATCTGCACAGTCCCTTCACAACAACACCCAGGCTGGTGTCTGATTAAATAACTGGGCGCTATAGCCTAGCCAAGTTAACACATAAAACTAACCATCACAGTCCACCCCTTGTCCCCTTGGCACCCATACACATCTCCTTAAACCCTACTTCATCTCCAGATGAAGACAATAACTGGGTCCCACTGCCACCGAATGTGGTACAAGTATCCTGGGTACAACCCAGGGTGCACTAACTCGCCCCAGAAGAGGATGCAAAGGCCTTGGGGCTGAGAGGGAGTCTTCGCTTTTAACCTCCCCTGGCCCGCCCTGGCTGACTTTTCCAGAAACCCAGACCAAGACTCGAAGCCCTGGTGCTACGTCTTCAAGGCGGGGAAGTACAGCTCCGAGCCGTGCAGCACACCCAGCTGCTCCAAGGGTGAGTGCGGCCTCCCCACCCTCCCCTGTGGGGATGGGGCGAAGAGGCGGGAGGACGGTGCTGACAGTCTTTCTACGGCTGTGGAGACGAAGGAGCAGGCTGGTAGCTCGTCATTTTGGTTCCAGAAGGAAGAAAGTCAGGAGATTCAGGTCCTCTCCCGGGCTTGGCCTCTAACTGGCTTGAGCTAACCTCTTTACCCCTGAGCCTCAGTTTCCTCACCTACAGAGGAGAAGATGGGGCTGCATCTGTGCTTTCCAGTCCTTCTGAAGATGGATGGAGATTCTCCCTTTGTGACTGATGGGCCTATGTCTCAATCTCTCTCTCCCTTTAAAGACTTTTAATGTGAGAAAATTTCCCAGATTTAAAAAATTCTAAGTTACAAAAAAGTACTACGAGGGGCCAGCCTGGTTGCGTAGTGGTGAAGTTTGCGTAGTCCACTTCGGCAGCCCAGGATTTGCAGGTTCGAATCCTGGGCGTGGGCCTACACACCACTCATCAAGCCAGGCTGTGGCAGCACCCCACACAGAAGGACTAGAGGGACCTACAACTGGGATATACAACTATGTACTGGGACTTTGGGGAGGAAAAAAAGTGCTATGAATTCAGTGGTGCTTTCAAAATAGTTGTTATTTATTACAATAGTGTGAAAAACATGTTTTAAAGTTCTAAGTATACGTGTACAAAAATACCGTGCAATCGACCTCCAGGTAATGCTGATCTATCTGTGAATTTGAGGACTGTTTACAGTCGCTCTAAAGCATCCTCCCCATCCCCCAGGATCTGGTCCAGGTTAGGACTCCCTGGTCTAGATGATCTTAGAGATCCATCCAGTTGACGGAAGTTGGCGCTCCAGATGAAAGCCATTTGCCATGCCCATATAAAAGCACTTGAAGAGGGAAAGGGGAGGTTAGGATGGGACCACACCCTTCTCCCAGGTGGACTGGCTGCCTTCGACTTGTCAGGCCAGCAGCTCCACTTCAGGCCCTGCTGCAAACCTCAACTTGCCTACTTTAGCATTTAATCAGTTTTGTTTCAGTTTGAGATTTCTTTTGTTCCAGAAAAAAATGGGGACTGCTACACTGGAAGAGGATTGGCATACCGCGGCACCCACAGCCTCACCACGTCTGGTTCCTCCTGCCTCCAGTGGAATTCCATGACCCTGATAGGCAAGGTTTATACAGCGTGGATGACCAACGCCCAGGCACTGGGCCTGGGCAAGCACAATTACTGCCGGTACGGAGCACAGGGTCTCTAAGAGGTTCATGTCTGGGCAGAAGGCAGGATTAGGGCGTGGGGTGGGAGAAGAATTGATGCCTAAAGTTATATGTAGGACCCACTGGGTTGGAAAGAATCGTGGATATCATCCAGTCCAACTTATGCATTTGCTAGAATAACACCTATTATGAAAAGCAAAGTCCACCACTTTTTCAACCCAAATCCCAAGTTAGAGGTGCTGTCCCATGGCCACTTAGTCCTCGTCTGCTGCACTCTCACGTGGCATTTTTATTCCAACAAATCCTAAGAGTTTCCTCACATCACAGCTCACAGTTCCTCCCAACATGCCCGTGAGATGAGAATGTTATGTTGCTCATAGAAAAGCGAAGTTGAAGTTGTTTTCCGATGGTGAGGTCTGTGCAGAGCCAAGTCGAGGACTCAGGGTCCTCCCGCCCTGCTCAGTGTATTTGCCTTTAGTTCGCTGAGTCTCCTCCCGCTCTTACATGGCTCGTGATGTGATTGAAAACCTTAAACTCCTTTCATCTAGGAATCCAGATGGGGATGCCAAGCCTTGGTGCCATGTGCTGAAGGACCGCAAGTTGACGTGGGAATACTGTGACATACCCCAGTGCTGTAAGGGCTGGCCCTTGGCCACCTCTCTTTTACCTAGCCTCACTTCTTGACCATTTCCTCTGCCACTTCCTGTGTCTTCATAGCTGTCTGCTTCAGATTGTGTTGCTGCCAGATTTTCAGGAAGGCCAGGCCTTGGTGGGGAGGGGGCTTCAATTACTGAATGGATGGGATGACAACACTTTTGGGCAGGTATCCACCTCCCATCCCATGCACGAGGGTGTTGGGGAGGGGAAAAAAGAAAGACGAGAACACACCGAGTTCCCTTACAGTTCAGTAGGCTGTAAACTTTTCTCTCTAGCTGACTTTATTAATGATGGTGATGACAGTAGTGGTGACTGTGAGGAGGAGGGTAGTTCAAATGTGTGGCTCCCTAGATAACAAAGGGCTCTCCCAGCCTCCCCCAGCAGTGTGGCGAGAGGTCATCTCCCTCTCTCCAGTTTACCGACTAGGAAACGATCTCTCAGAAGTCACGGGTCCTGCCCAAGCTTGCTGAGCTCTGAGAGGTAGAGGTGGGAGCCCCACATCCTCTCACTCTAAGACTTGTACTTCTGTGAACTCCCCCACCTTTCTCACAGAACCCTGTTAACACAGGGGAACTGGGTTAGTGACGGGGGTGGGAGACAGAGAGAAAATTCCAGTTGGCACATTTGCTAAAAAAATAAAACTTTAGTTTGGAAATTATCTGAGAATAGATTATTATTACTCAGTTCCTGTGAACACACAGATCAGCCAGAATGTTCCTCTGGCTGGAACAGAGTCTAACTGAGCAGGTGAGACACAAGCTACCAGCTAACTCACAGCCCAGGTCCTCAGAGAGCCACATCAGAAGCTCGCTCAAGAGCCCAGTGGGCTGGGACTGTTAGGCAAGCTTCATGAGGAAGTAGACTTCAGCCGGGCCTTGAAGGCTGGGAAGGAAGGAGAGGTGGAAAAGAAATGGGGTAGACATTCCCCGGGATGAGGTTGCAATGCTTCATTATTTCTTAAGCCAGGAGGCAGCTGCGGGAAAAAACTAGAGGTAATGAAGCATAGCAGATCCCCAGTTTGGGAGTTAGAGAGATCTAGACTAATCCAGGTGCCATGGTGACCTCGGGCGGGAATTTCACAGCCTCTCTGAAGTCCAGCACTGTGAGGGTTAAAGATAATGTGGATACAGTGGTTGGCACACACTGTGTACTCAACAAAGGAAAGCTGTGGTTTTCATGACCATGGGACTGAGAAGTGCAATAGCCTGCAGAAACTTGGGGTTTCAAGAGAAGAAGCCCAGATGGCGCTCAAGGACTTCACCTCAGGCCCACAGGTCTCATCTCCCTTCTCTGTCTTTTCTTCCCCCAGCCACCTGTGGCCTGAGACAGTACACGCAGCCTCAGTTTCGCATTAAAGGAGGACTCTACGCGGACATTGCCTCTCATCCGTGGCAGGCCGCCATCTTTGCCAAGAACAGGAAGACACCAGGAGAGAGGTTTTTGTGTGGGGGAATACTGATCAGTTCTTGCTGGCTCCTGTCTGCTGCCCACTGCTTCCAGGAGAGGTAGGGACCTGGAAGACCCTGGAGGTTGTCCTACTCCAAGGCCTTGAAACCAGGCCATTGGAGGAAACCTCACAGCAGGAAGAGCACGCTAAGTCCATTTCTCCACTAGGTTTCCTCCCCATCACCTTAAGGTGGTCTTGGGCAGAACATACCGATTGGTCCCTGGAGAGGAGGAGCAGAAGTTTGAAGTAGAAAAGTACATCGTCCATCAGGAATTTGATGATGACACTTACGACAATGACATTGGTAAGTTGTCATTATTCTCCCTGCTCCAGCTCAAACTCTAGATCGCACAACACTCACCCACACGAGTGCCGCTCCTCCTTGCAAACCCTCGCCCTCCCCTTCATCGTCCTGCCCTGAGATCCGAAGCAGCCCTTCATACTGGGCTTTTCCCTCCCTCCCTCCCCTTCCCAGCACTGCTGCAGCTGAAGTCGGATTCCATGCAGTGTGCCCAGGAGAGCGACACTGTCCGCACCGTCTGCCTCCCTGAAGCCGACCTGCAGCTGCCCGACTGGACGGAATGTGAGCTGTCTGGCTACGGCAAGCACGAGGCGAGTAAGTGGAAGGCAGTTTCAGCCCGTCCTGACAGTGCAGGACAGCAGGGGTGCAGTTGCTGACCAGACAGCAAGACGTGGTCTCGAGAGTGGTTCTAGCCCGTCCAGACCCTGTTGCTGTGTAACTGTAGGCATTGTCCGCCCTCCCTGCCTCACAGGGTCACTGTGCAGGTCAAGGAGGGTCTCAGTAGTACAAGTGCTTTGAAGAGCTTGAGATTTCAAGAAGGTTCCGATAAGAAGTGGAGTATGGTAATTAAGGGTGTGGATTCTTGGACTCAGTAGCCGTGTAGACCTGTGTTCAAATGCTAGCTCTGCACCTTGCCAGCAGTGTGACCCTGGACATGGCTTTTTACACTGCTCCAAGCCCCAGTTCTCACTGGTAAGAGAGGGATCGAACCAGCCACCTCATTAGATTATGAGGGTTAAATGAGATTAAACCAGTGGTTCTCAACTGGGGTGATTTTGCCCCCAGAACACTTTTGGCAATGTCTGGAGGCATTTTTGATTGTTAAAACTCAGGAAGGAGGTTTATACTGGCATTAAAGAGAAGCCAAGGGTGTTGTCAAACATCCACAATGCACAGGACAGCCCCTCCGCGCACCCCGCCCCCCAAGAATTATCTGGTCTAAAATGTCAATAGTGCTGCTATTGAGAAACTCTGGGTTGAATCGATAAAATTGCTGGTTTTGTAAGTCAAAACAATAAAATATTTGCAATTCCATAGGATTCAACCTAATATGTGTAGAAGCTTGATAAATGTGAGCTATTATTGGAAAATTTGGCTTTCTCCTTCCAGAACATTTACAAAGAACTTTCCCTAAAGCCATCAAGTCATCTTCCCTCCTCTGTTTCAGCCTCTCCTTTCTATTCTGAGCGGCTGAAGGAGGCGCACGTCAGACTGTACCCGGCCAGCCGCTGCACGTCGCAGTACTTGTCTAACAGGACCATCACGGACAACATGCTGTGTGCTGGGGACACACGGACTGGAGGGAACCAGGCGAACCTGCATGACGCCTGCCAGGTAAACACGAGCACCTCTCCATCCTGAGTGCTCCGGAGACTGAGAACAAGTTAGAGCCAGAATGGAGGGTTCCATCTCAGTGAGGCGCTGGGAATTCTAGACGAGGGCCTCAGAGAATAAAGCAATTGGAGAAAGATCAAAGTTACCCAAAGTTAAGAAATCTAAACTGCAGGAAATTTCCCCAGTGTCTACACAGGAAACTCCACCTGTTCAAGATTTCCTGTAAGCCCAGGCAATTAATTGACTATTGAAGTGATAGATAAATCAACACGAATTAAGAAATTCTTGACTTGTGTCAGTGCTGGTGAATTGGAGTCTGCTTTGTAGAAGGGGAGGAGGACCAGCAATTTACTGGGAAGTAGGAGAGGGGGGATTTGTGAGAAATAAGTTTCAAAAATGCACATTCCACCCCAAGACCCTGGGAAAGCAAACCATTTTAGGCTGTGTTGGCATCCTTCTCAGAGTTATCTGATAAGTATCTAAGTATCCTTATCAGTCCTTCTGTTTCATGATAGCAAGACAATGCTATCCAATCTGCAGTAGGAGGACCTAAATACAGCCCAGGCCTGTTGACGAGACATTTTCGTGCCTATGTGTGCCAGCCTCTCCACTGAGGGGCTGGGGCGAGGGGCCTTATGGAAGAAGGCAGGCCAGGATCTTGCCTGAAGCCTTTGTGGACTGTCTTCTGGAAGGTGATCCTACCAGCATTTCCCCCCTGGGTTCCTTGACAACCTTTGGCCTCTTTTGAATCGTTTCTTCAGAAACCTCAGCTGTACCACCCAGCTCAACAGTCATAAAAAGGTTGTTTGCAAAGTGGAACCATGATGTAGCTGCAAGTTTTAAGTTAAAACAAAAACAAAAAATTGTTTTGACTCAGTAAGACAATAACAGCCAACAATCACCAAGAGTTTTACTAAGTGTCATACATCGCTCTCCCATCATTTCAAGCTTTCTCCCAACTAATTCCCATCAGCATCTCATAAGGTAGATAGTCTTGTCTCTATTTTACAGATAAGAATATCAAAGCACAGTTAGCCTAAGGTCACACAGCTACCAAGTGGGGGATTAAAACCAGGGTTGAGCCCTGAAATGTCTAAGCAGGTATCTCAGTTCCACTTTACAATGTAGATAGAATCTAATTCTCTCAAGGATCAAGATCATTGAGAGCAAATTTTCCCTCTCTGAAGCAAGCACTTTGAAGAATACAGTATTAACGCTGCAATGATTAACTCTGACCCTCCCCCCGAGTCTGCATTTTTGGCAAACTAACCGGTTCTCCTTTGCAGGGTGACTCAGGAGGCCCCTTGGTGTGTATGCAGGACAACCACATGACTTTGGTTGGCATCATCAGTTGGGGCCTTGGCTGTGGGAGGAAAGATGTTCCGGGTGTATACACCAAGGTCACTAATTACCTAGCCTGGATTCAAGACAACATGCAGCCATGACCAAGAACAGCCCATTCCCTGAAATCACAGGAGACCCTACTTCTTCCACTTCAGAAGGCACCCCACGGCGGTGCTTCCTTACCCAGATTTCTCCATGAGCCATCACACAGGACAAGTGAGGGGAGAACTGGCAGAAGAGAAAGGATATATTTTCATGGGTACTTCCCCATTTGGAAGTTTTCAGGGATTCAGGTCTGATTTCAGAATGTATTCTGTCAGACCAGAACACAGATCAAGGCCAGCCCCTCCTGGATACCACCATCTAGGGCAGAAGAGAGGTAGACAAGCCCAGCCTCCAATCTGTCAACGTGAGCAGCTTTGAAATGGGACCACAAAGATGCAAGTGTGTCTTAATAGGAACAAGTGACCTGGTCCTTCGGGGAAGGATTGCATTAGAAATAGAATGTCTGTTTATAGGCCCAAGGAAGCCCAACGGGGGCCTCCTAAGAAGGGATGGGCTGGCTGGCCAGACCGTGTTCCTTAAAGCCATCCTTGCAATCGTTTGGCTTTCCCCTTTCTCCACCTTACAGCTCTTGGAAAGGAATCCTTTGTGTACAGTATAAATCTTTTCTCTTTACAGACTTTATAACAGAACAGGAGACTTGTATCATTTTCCTAACTGATAAACTAGGCTTTAGCATATTTATATCAATCCATCTTAGTTTTTATTTTTTGTTGCCACAATCCTGTATTATACTGTACTGAAATAATAAACTCAGATGTATTTTTCACACATTTCCCAACCCGGAGTGGAACAGTTGTGTTACGTATGTAGTATCCCACAGCTTGTTTGTTCACGTTTCTCATGTTCGCAGTTTTAAATCCTTTGAAATGTTTCCTTTTGTTCACTCACCATACATGGAATACTTGCTGCATACAAGGCAATGTGGTAGGTGCTCTGGACAGTAAACAAGGGGAAGGAAGGAGCTCTTGGTTTGACAGGAACATAAGGTATGAGAGAAATAACAAGGTAGAATGGAGATGGACTACAAAATGGCAAGAGAAACTCTTACTGGCATTCACTTGCAGGAGGGATTAGGGACTCAACAAAAAAATAGGATTAGGCAGGGCTTTCAAAAACGGGGCGAGATTGGGACTGGTGGAGAGGCGTGGGAAAGGCATTCTGGAGACAAGGAATATCACGGCATGAAAATATGAAGGTCCGGAGAGCAAAAAAGGCAGCGGGAGCGTGGGAAGGAATTGAGCAGTACAATTCACCTGCAGTGAAGCTCCTGAAGAACACAGGGAGCAATTGAGATTACGGGGACTTGGAATGCCAGACTGAGTTTGGACTTAATTCTGCAGGCAACTGGGAGCCAGTGAGGATTGTGCTTACAGGAAGTGATGAACTGAGCATGTCTTAGGGAAAGTAACCAAGGGATGGTGGGAGAGCAGATTAGCTAAGGAGACTGCCTGGCAGAACCACAGTAGTACAAAGGAGAAAGGAGGGGTGAGAGCTGCCTCGGCATGCCCTTGCTAACATAGCAACACCCCAATGCTTGGTTCCGACTAGAAGCTAGTATTTGGGCCATTTTTTCCCCATTCTATTTTGCTTTCCTATTCATCTGAAAGAATTAACTCCCAGACCAGTCCATACAAGTATGTTACTTAAGTAATGCTGCTTTCTGCTTCCCTTAGACTACTTTCTTAACTACTCCTGAGATGCAGCCCATATTCCTGGCTGCCGCCTGAGTTTTATCATCACTGACAGCCCAGACCCAAGAACAGATCTGATGATGCAATGCTTACTGTTGAGTATGTGCTGATGGTTTCTAGGAGAGGAGAAGAGGTGGTCGTAGTTGGCGCTCTCTCTCTCTCAAGAGAGGTTGTCCGAACTGCTCAGTTTAGAGGTTCTTAGAAGAGCAGTAGTTTCAACTCACAAAAGACAGACTCTTAAAGCCCAAGAGCTGGATTCAGGGGAAGAAAACCAGCTCCCCTGAGATGCTGAGGTCTCCGGGCCAGTTAACCAAATGCAGATCACAGAAACTTCAGCCACAGATTCCTTGACGCCAGACTGCTCACTTACACGTCCCTGTGCAAGTGGCAGACAGATGTGCGTCTCAGTGTTTCAGAGAAATGTCACTCGAGGAGAGCAATAAGCAAGACACCCAGCTACTGCGTCTCTGGCAGGAATTCCACTGGTTTTGTCCCCGCCCCTTGTATGGCAAGCTTTTCTTCAGATGGTCAGGTTAATGAAATGAACTGAAGCAGCAAGGCCTCCTGGGATGGAACCCAGGGGTAAAAGGCCCCGGCATTCCTGAGCGAAGTGCTGGAAACCAGACTGGATGAAGACAATTGCTCAGAAGAGGCCACTGACCGAGCTGCAGGGCAGTCCCAGCCCTGCAAGACAGATTCATCTGAATTGTACTAAATACCCTCAAAGAGCGACACCTCCTTGCCTAGTGCTGGTTAGGAGAGTCAGGATGAAACAGCCGGGACTCATCAGGGGAAGGAATTGGGTATCCGGGGAAATGAAACAGTATTTCCTTATTATCCCCAGCTGGTTAATGAAACAGATGCCAACTGACTGAAGAACAGGAAGGTTCTCAGCTGATTCTGCCGGTAGTCCTAGCGGGTAGAGACTGCAGGAACTCAGAAGGGCGACTCCGCTATCCTCCTGGAGCCCCCATCTTAAGTCTGGTTATCAGAAAGAGTGTCATAAACTTCTGGTTCCACATTAAACTTCAAAAGCCAAAGACTCACACGATCCCCAGGATTTGGGATCTTGGGGAAAGTTTCCAATTTAATTCCTCTATTAAAAGTCTAATTTAAAAAATTAATCTCATTGCTGGCCCTGAGTCACCACCTACTGGCAACAGAGGGAAGTACAAGTATTATAAAATTGACCTGGTCACACCACAACGCTACCAAAACAGCCAGGCCGAGGCCAAGAGATCTCAACAATGACTAAGACGGAGAGGGTGGAGTGTTAACAGACACTAACCACTTGTGCTTAGGAAACAGAAAGAAGTCTTAAAGTTTCTTCACAACCAATTTACAGAAGGAAATTAGTACAGATAGGGGATAACAACCAGCGTCTAAGCTTTACAGAGACTCCCAATAAATCTCCACTACAATTAAGATGTCTAGGACCCTGGGGGCGGGCCCCATGGCCGAGGGGTTAAGTTCACGCTCCGCTTCGGCGGCCCAGGGTTTCGCTGGTTCGGACCCTGGGCACGGACATGGTGCCACTCGTCAGGCCAGGCTGAGGCAGCATCCCACATGCCACAACTAGAAGGACCCACAACTGAAAATATGCAACTATGTACAGGGGGGCTTTGGGGAGAAAAAGGAAAAATAAAATCTTAAAAAAAAAAGATGTCTAGGACCCTGAAGCCCTGTTTCACGCCTGAATTAATCAACCTAAGAAGAAAATCGAGAACGGGGGGAAGCATGAGAACAGACACCAGTAGCTTTAATGGGTTTGTCCTTTACCCAATGGGGCAAAATAATTTGATTGATCTGGACTTTCGTTCTCACAACCTTAAAAATGACATGAATACCAGCATCCTCTATCTTCCAGAGGTGACTGGAGACTCAAACCATACACATGCGTGAGGTCTGCCGGCAGGAAAGCACGAAAGTAGTAAGACCCCTGAACTGCTCCTACTAAGGCACGCACAGCACAGCTTTATCATTAGTCCTAGTCACAAAACACGTAGGACACGGAGCACTGGCAAAACTCGACTTTATTAAGACTTAAACAGAGAAGATGCTTCTGCACATGTTCAACACATATGGAACCGGACGGCTCAGGGAGACAGCCAGCCGCATGGACACTAACACACAGCTCCACTGCGCTCGGGGTCTGCCACCCACAGACAGAGGCGGCAGCGACTCCATATGTGCAGGCCTGCAGGCCCCACACCCTAGAGCCTTTACTTCTCCTTAAGTTCTTCCCTTGAAATTAGGATGAGCTGTCCTGGAGGAAATGAAACAGCTAGACTTACAAACCTAAAAATGTTCAAGGACGAAGACTATGTTTCCTGTGATCTAGGAAACTTTAAAATCCTTCAGAGCCCTCAGGAGAAGTAATTTCAAGTATTCTGGAATCCACAGGCAGAGATGTTTCCCCTACTTTGGTAGGTGTGTATATGGGACATAGTAATCCAGGACAAATTCTTGAGTGATGGATATGAAACACATCTGGTTGTATACACACAATTTACCCCAGAGGAAAACCACAAAGCAACATCTGCAGCAAAAACAAGTCCAGGAAGTAGGAAGATAAAACGAGCAAAAAAATTGCCTAAGTATTTGGAAATAGGGCTTCAGAGAAAAACTGTAGGATTTGGAGAGTATAGGTCTTCATTTTTCTCCATGCATGAAGCAGAGCACAATGTCACTCCTTAAAGCTATACTAATAAAAAAAACCCCTATCTTTCATATAAATATTTAAATGAGTAACAGACACATTGAACTAGAATAAAAATCACCCAGTGAGAAAGCCTGAGGTACTACTTTACTTTTACTCAAAGATTTAAGGGATTTTTTTTTTGCCTTAAAACAAAAATGGACTGGGAGATAGCCACTGCTAAGAAACGCATTATAGAGTACAAAAGACTCTGAGGAAATCACTTTATGAGCAGCTTCAAGGATCAGCCATGCCCTCAACAGGGAGCACTCTTTCCACTTAGGATCACCGATGGGAAAGTTCCAGACAGGAAGGCTTAGACTCCAGTGCCAGTCCAGCACTGACCAACGAAAATAAGGAATCACTGGGCTACAGCCGTGGTACCCTCACGAGGAGCGAGCTGGCCGTCTGCACTCCAGCACTATGGCACACAAAAGCTGGCTGCCCGGGGTCCCGGGGGAGGCTTTTCTGAAACTCTCCTCAGCCAACAGGAAAAAGCCTGGCGCATTCTGTAAAGCAGAGTGAGTAGAACTGTTCTGGGTTAGGGAGAGAGGCATTTCACGCAACCCCCACCTGGAAGAGGGCAGGTCACCGTCTCACTGGACATGACAGACCGAGTGCCAGGCAAGCAGCAGTTCTATCTGAAAACTAGTGGTCAGACACCTTCACGGTCTTTAAGGGAAAAGTCTGATTCTACTGGGGTTTCCATGTCAATAGGGGACTTGAAGTTAAGAAGTTTACAGTTCATTTCTAGAAGCACAATTTTCTTTTGTAAATGAAAACAGAGAACCAGAAAGAAACCAGCTCAACCCTGTTCTTTCCAGCCCTCCTTCACGTGGAGCTTGGCGGCCTTTCATGCCACTTCCCTTTCCTATGCGGCCTCACACGTCCTTAACACTGTTTCCTCTTTCTTCTCCCTCATCGGGCAGATCCTTAACTGGCCTTTCCTTGACTAACAGTCATTCTCTTCCAAGCTTGCTTTCTTTCTTTCTAATCTTTCCTTCCACCTTCAAAAACAAGGAAGTCTTTCATTGGCTTTAGATAATTAAAGCCAAGCAAGGAACAAATGCTGGATCTTTCCTAAGGTGACCACGTTACAAAAGTCCAATATGGTGTCAAGTATCTCTACCCTCCCTCGCCATCTCTTCTCTGAGAACTGAGTTGGCGCTGACTGTGTGTCAGTTCTGTCCAGTTCTCCCTGGAGACCCGCTCTCCCTTGATTACTTCCACGGCACTGAAGGCTAAGGACAAAGGGAGCGGTGGGTCCGGGAGGGGACTGACCTAGGAGACAGGCTGATAGTTTTTACTTTTAGACAAGTCAGAAATGAAAAAGTGTTCATGACTGTTCCCTTCCCAAACTCTCCTTTCAGGTTCGAACTTGGAACTTTC